GATTGCGATCCCGGAGGTGCGGCTTCACTGAGACAGACGATATCGAATATTATAGATAGAACATCGTCATCCAGAGTATGAAACATATCTCAAGAGTCGACGGTGCTTGATCTGACTAAATCTCCGCAGTTGGTGGTGGAGGGAAACGTTTAGAATCTCATGCGCCGATGTTCAAGTCGCGTTGTAATTACGTAATGGAAATCGTACGCACGTGCTCAACCCAACACGACCTAGCCGTTTAAACTTTATGCATACTCTGGCTACCGAGTCGGAACAAATTCGCCGACTTATTGTCTTCACGAGTGTCTGATACGGAATTCTAACATACAGCCCATTCTTATAGTGAGATACGGAGACTTGCAGGGAGAAGGGAAATTACCCGTCGTAAGCAAGGGTCGTGAACATCCTCACATCTTCACTCACGTAAGTACGACATGCAAATCAACGTGGTGTTCGAGTAACACCTCAGATATGGGAAAGCGCGAAAGATACGCAATTTCGACGCATGCTATTTGGAAGACACGGGGAGTGCGTTGGGGCGCATGGGGCACACGCGCGCGCTGCTCGTGCCCGTCGACGTCGCCGACGCGAGCGACCCCGTCGCACTGAATCCAATCGGGCCCGTCGGGGTCTCATCCGCCGTCGCCGCGACCGACGCAGAGGACGACGCAGAAGCCTCCCTAAAGCCGAAGGGGAGCAAAGTCAGCGACGCGCAGTCTGGAATCGCGCTGGGATGCGAGATGCGGGGATGTAGAGGAGAGGGCGGTGTCTGCGGAATGGAGGGTACTCACTCTGCGCTCGCGGACCTGGGGTCTGTGTCGGTGTCGAGGACGTGATCGATGATGTGGATGACGCAATTGTCGGGCTGGTGGACTCAAAGATGGCGTATAGATGCGCCGAGGGAAAGCGGGGTAGCGACATCGTATTAGGACGGTCATTACACAAAACCTCAAGAGACTATGCACCACTCACCAATGGGCGCCCATGAGTGACGTTCGTCTTTGCCGGCCTGATATTCGAGTTCTAGAGCTACGAGGGAGCTCGCGCCGCACATTCCGACGACAGTCGCCATGACCGCGGCGGAGCCAGGCTTCGCCGTGTGCCATATGTCCGGTCGGCGCTTGACTTGTTCCTGTGCGTTCAAGCCAGGGTGTTGGTGTTTCCCACGACGTCCATGACGCGGAGGGCCACCATCGTAAACTGAGAGTGCGCGATGGGGGTGGGGGAATACATGTCCTCGGGAACGGGGTTTGACACGATGAGCTCCTCGAGAACAAGCTACGGACGCGCTACTGTGATCGCCATGGTGGAGGGCCAGGCGGGCCGGCCAACGAATACGCCCGGCGTCGTGCGAGGCGAAGGTGAAGGTGGAGTCGACGGAGCCGTCGCATCCGAGCAAAGACGGCGATGAGACGAAGGGTGGTCGCCTCGTGCTTCGTCTCCATCCAGTCCCCCACCGCTTCCCGAGCTGGATCCTCGAGTCCCGCGCGCTCCCGTGATTTGAAACTTGAACGCGAGCATGTTAGGGCACGGCGTTGCGCACCGCTCCAGGATACGGAGTGCCTGCGCGACGCTCGAACGCAGGCAGGAACCGCCCGACCTCGACTCCGGCGCCACCCGAGTGGGGCCAGTCGAGACGCGCAGAGCGCGGAGCTTTAGCGGGAGATGTGCCCGGAGGCGGTCGCACACGGCGGGGCTGGCGAAGAGGATGCATTAGAGATCTGGCCACAGGAACGTGGTGTGGGGAACATACTACGACTTCCGCGCGTCCTTGAGGTCATCGGCGGCAGCAAGTGCGAGTAGTGTCAGGAGGAGGGGCGCAAAGAGGGGAGCAGCAGTAGAAAACGAAATTGATCAGAGGCTCCAAATCCCAAGATGTTCGGGCACAACCTGAAAGTCATCGAGAGCAGGTCGGTTGTTTGTTTGTTTAATTCCTTCTTAACGCCCTGGAGGGCTGAGCCCTATGGTAGGCGATACGTATGGTGGTGTAGTTATCTAGAAAGGGAAATGCGTATACGGGACAGGTGACGTGTCGGCGAGCAGGTCGGTGTTCGGCGGTGGGCATCTTCCAGGACTCGTGGCGCCTCCCTTGCCAAAAGAGGCTTGCTACTCAACGCCATGACGTCATGCCCGTTGGGAGTGGCGTCGATGACCCGACGACGATCCTCGCGCGCGGGTGCGCGATGCAGGCAAAGACCTTGGCTGTGCTCGCGGACGGACGGAGGAGGAGCGCGAGGCCAAGGCTTTTTCCGCCCACGGGCGCCAGTAGACGCAGGCGAAGGAGAGACGGTCGGCTTGCTGTTCCCCTAGAGTGTGCTCGAAAGACAGTGGGTCCCTGTGTTCAAGGACACGCGCAATCTACGACCGCGTGTACGCCGAGGCCGAAGGGTTCGTCTCCACCACCGGGCTCGACCGTGATGACGTGAACGCGCCGAGGTCGACGAGGCGCTGAGTGCGGTCCGCGCTGAGACCCGCCGGATGAGAACAGCCAGTGGGAGCGGCGGCGGCCTTCTCGAGCGCGTCCTTCTGCGTCTGCTTAACCATCCGGGAACAGTGATCCTGCGCCTTCTTGCCGAGCAATTCGACGAGGGTCGTAGCGACCTCGGACACGTCAAACACGGTCAACGGCGACAGGTTCCGAACGAGATGGCGGCGTGCGACGTCGTTGGACGTGGTAGTGGGGAGGAGAGATGGAGATGCGTTGACCTTATAAGTGGGGACATTCGGAAGGTCGGAGTGCTGGATGACTGGGCAGACAGCGACGCGCGTTCGCACGAATATCAGAGAGCCTGCGCACAGCGTTGAGCGTTGGCTAAAGTGAAATGCTCATAGCGGCAAAGTCCACTCACGGCAATCCTGAAGCAGGTGATGATAGCCCGCAATGTTTTACGAGCTGATGCTCGATTTTGCAGCCGATGTGCTGTCAACATGTGAGCAGCGAGATCATAGAGAAGAATGGCGGCGGTTGGGATGCTCGCCGGTGTGTGACCAAGACGCTAACAAAGAGAACGTGTGCGCAACGGGGAGGTGACAGGTCGGCATGAATGAGACCCGCGCATATTCCGCCTCCAATCCATGCCAGTGCCATTGTAAGGAGTCAGAGGACTCACCGTCTCCTCGCCATGGAAAAATATCCTGGCAATCGCCATCCTCGAATTGGGCAGCTCCAGAAAAGCCGTGTTCAAATCCTCGTAGAGGGGGTCGTGGCCCGCTAGTCTTCGTCTGGACAGATGGACGAAGACGAGTTGCCGAAGTTGGTGCCGACAACGGCTGGGATCTTAGAACTTCAGTCAGGGTGTCGGAAGAGCAGTTTACTGCTTCCAGCTTGGAAGTACATGAGGATGAAGGGGTAAGAAAAGCGGAAGAGAGGGTGGGTACGGACGAGGACGGAGGAGGGCATGTGCGGCCCTGGGTGGGCCGCATGCACTCGTCCGCAGTCCAGATAAGATAAGCGCGTATTTGGATCAAGACAAGCGCCTGCTCGGCCCTCGCTCGCGTTCGACCACCATCCCGCAGATCATGAATGTGCCCTCCCAGTCCGTGCACCAAGAGGAGTGTGCGCAGTGACTCGACCACTTGGTAATCCCCCCCGTCCGTGGCGCAGGATGCCTACCAACGTCCCCGCAGGACGGTCCGCAAGGCGGAGTCGATGCATGCTCCAGTGACGCCCTTCAACAAAGGTGGATGCCTACAGGGAGAGGCACACGGACGCACGTCACGAAGACGGGATATATATTCACGCTTAATGCGATGAGGGAAACGAAGCTATTCGCGAACGGGGTACGTCCTTCCTTTACTTTGTTGTATTTGCGGGCGGGGACGGTTCTGTGGAAGGCTGAGGACGACTCGAGAGCCACCTGCGATTGAGAAGAAGCTTGCTATCATCGAGGAGCCCGAGGGGGACAACCACGAGTACAAGGCCCTCCCTGGTCCCGGTCTTGAGTCGGAGGAATCTTTCCTGTGCGGGCGTGCCTGCCGCGATGTTCGAGGTGGTGAGTCACTCCGACAAGATGTGCTTTTTCCACCTCTCACTCCTTCCTTCAACCGACTCTCAGGGATTTTTATGACTACGATCATCGGCGGCATTCGTCGACCTTTGGTGACACCAAGGATGGGTCTAGCCGCCATCTCTTGGAGTCGACGACTCAACTTGAGCGTGGGCCGCTTCTCTACACACGTTCGTCGCTCATCTGCTTCGCAGTCTCCGTTTCAAACGCGCTGAAAAAACTGCTCTCTGTATTCTTCTTCATGTAGTTCCGCGCATGCTCTTGACTCGGGGCGGCTGCCTCGACTCCGCCGGCGCACCTGGTATCCGCTTTGTCCGCGTCGCGATCAGGCCGCTAGTACCGCAACACTCCTCGTCGGTCTTGGCTTGCGCCTCATAAGCCCTAATCCTGCCGCGAGGGCGCTTCCATGGTCCCTGACCGGGGCTTCTCGATGGATATCGCGCTCACTTCCGTGACCAACACAAGAAGGCAGGCGTCCGAAGCTCATTAACCGACGGACTGGGACAATATACGGCGGCGCCCCGGCAAGATAGAACCTCTCGAAGAGCACGGGCCGTTAATCGGATGGTGCACTGGCCTCCGCCTGCTTCTCTTGCGAAGCTAGGTGAGTGCACCCTCGACTTGGCTGCCTCTTTCGTCGCACATCAGAATGACTCACTCTGTTTGTTCTCCTATTTGGGCTGCGTGGAAATCAGCGGGAATCACACACGCATCCTCGAGGCGCAGGGCTGCCATATGACGAATCTGACCCACGCCTGGGCTACAGCCCCGTGGTGTTCTCTATCGAGATCGAGGCGTCTAAGCGTGAGTGCGTGGTATATGAAGCCTGAGCGCGGCATGGGTGTGTATCCATCCCCCATCCTTGACTGCTTCGCACTTATGTCCACTACTCCTATTTCCCCTGCGTCGACCCCCGAAGGTCGACAAGGGCTCTACAGGATCAAGCTCAATATACCCGCGGCGGCCCTTACCGCTCATACGAAGGTTTTGGTGCGTACCAGTGGCGGCGGAGGCATATGATACCGTTCTCAAGCTGACAGCGCGCGCAGACATTTCATGACCTCATCGTCCGCCCCCAGTATTTCTCGGATGAGGACCGCGCTATCCTTTCCAAGGATCTAGACGCCTCCACTTTTGGCGTCGAAGACCCAGATGTGCCCACTACGCCTCCATCCACCGCATCTTCCGACCTCACCACTCCAACGTCCAGAGAGCTCCCCCAAGACTTCGCGGCGCTTTACGTCGGCTCCGACGACGACTTCTACGACAACCCGAAGGAGATCGACCGCGCCCCTGTCACTCCCGCGGGAAATCGCAATTTGCGGGTAAATGTGACGGGGAAAGTGCCACTTCATATATCCAAGTTCGCAGATCCACACCCGGAGGAATTTCATAGTATGTGTTGAACGACCATCTGTCTCATACATTCAACTGACCTTCGCTTCAGTGTATTCATATGTCGCCAACGTTGTAAGATGAATCGCAAGATTCGTTTACCGTCGTATGATTTACCTTGTCATTTCTTCTAGCAACTCAGCTGGGACGATATCAATGTGTACTCAGCCAAACTTCTTCCCGACACAGGTATGTTCGTCGACCAATGAATGGAGACATATCGCTTATGATCCACGCTCGTCAGCCTCCAACAACACGTACGTGAATGCTTTCTCCCACTGCTTGCGGCACATCTGAACCATTCGTTCAATAGATGGACCTACGTACAAAAATACTTGCGTCTAGTGATTTATCAGGAACGCGCTGCACAACTGGAAGAGTGGCCCAGACGTATGATTCCGCGTCCCAAGATGTCCTACCTTCAAGTTCCACAATACTGCAATCCGCCACTGCGACAGAACTTCAGGGATGTCTATGACGCAACGCATATGACAGCCCTGCTGAAGTACGGAGACCGCCTCTCCGTCAGTACGTTCCATGCGTTTATTTTTGCGTCGCTGTGCGACAGCGCATTGACTATATCCTCGCAGCGCTCGTGCATCCGGAACTTGACGAGCTTGTGATGGAAGTCCCGTACATGTCCGGTTCCACAGAGCACTCCATGGAACCCTTGTCAGTTTCAGGGTGCTTGTCTCTCGCGTTTTCTCGCAACGACAAGTGTTCTCACGACAGAACCGACGGGATCCTGGGGTTTGGGCCTCGCATGTACGTATAGCCTTTCATCATGAACACACCCGATGTCTTACGCGATGAGCATACAGGTATCAGCCACACCTCTTTTCTACTGATACGGTAAGTAAGCAATGTATCTGAATGGATTCGTCTCACAAATTCCGCAGAGTAAACGTGCACCGCCCTCGTTCATGGAAGCCATCATGGAGCATCCTGGTTTAGTGAACATTCCGCTAGAGTTCGACGTATGTGACACATGAGATCTATTCGGTACACAAGTCACGATGCTCACAGATCACATCTAGCGATACGGGCCTGGTTTCTATTTTAACTTCGGCCCATAAAACCATCAAAACGCGTGCGTGTTCGTCATTGCATGTGAGACTGCTCCTGATTGGTTGTTCACAGACACATCGCGCTTCCATACTACGGCCGTCCGTCTCACACGCTGTTCAAGGACATTACGGTAATTGGAAACCAGGATGCGTGGAAGGTAACACTCGTTGGATTCACAGTCACGCGTCTCGAAGGAACCTCGCGGACGCCGCACTCAATCCACGTCGACCTTCTCGACGCAGACGTCTCGGCCATCCGGTTGAGGTTCTTCTGGATTCAGGTACGCTAGCATAAGTCACGCGGGTGGAGAAGTACTCACGCCAATGTGGTAGCCTGTTCGCGTTCAACCTTCCGTTCAAAGCTTTGGAGAAGCTTGTCGCCGCTGTGACGAGAGGCCGAGATATTGTCGAACTCGGCACCACAGGCATGGACAGGCGGCTTACACAATCAGCAATGCGGAGGAGGCTTACGCAGTGCATGTCCCGGCTTTCCTCGGCAAAGTCGGTCAGCCGGGACACCGCCATTTGCCGAAGGTACCGTTCACCCGGGCTCGGCCGGACTCACCCGGTTACCTCGGCAGAGTCTTCCGGCCGGACTCACCCGGTTTTCCCAGGGGAGTCGTTCGGCCGGACTCCCCTGGTTTTCCCAGAGGAGCCGCCCGGCCGGACCCGGTCGAAGTGAGTACAGTGTAGCATGCATAAAACATGTTGTGTGGTGTATGTAAGGCTTCATATGATCAATTAGGCCTCAAGGTTGGATAGTTATGGAGTATACACCACACAGGTAGTGCTGTGGTGTGTTATAGCACAGAACTTGGTCACCCAGGTCTGGCTGAACCTACCCAAGCATGCAGCAGCCACCTTCAAAACCTCTGATACTTGGAGGTGGGTGTCCAAGGACAGACATACCAGGGAGCACAAGGGTCCAATGCAAGCAGCAGACCACCAGGCAGTGGTGCAGGCCCGACACTGCACCAGGTGGCAATGGACGGATGGCCGGCGATAAACAGATGGCCGGTATTAGATGGATGGCCGGCACTGGGCAGTAGATGGATGACCGCCGGCAAACAGACGGCCGGTGATGCAGCTTGAAGCGGACCGACTGTCGGCAGTGGAAGCCTCGGACTGACCGCAGCGGAGCGCCGGCTGATGGCGGCCGCGCATAGCGCCGGCGCATCAGCGGCTGTGCACTGCCGCCCGCGCTCCGAGTGATCTGAAGTGGCCGCCCCCCCGACATGTTTGTATTCGTTCTCCGCCGTTATTGGTCTTAATGACATGCAAAAGAGCGCGTTATGTGCGTATTAACAGCGCGAATCAAAAGTGCCCTGGAACGTTACGTTCTGTGCAGGCGCCGGCCCGTGACGTTATATGTAAAAATGGGGATGAGATGGAGTATGCTGACATTAACTTACATCGGATATATGTATGCATACCCAGATATTCTTCGCATCATCTGTGACTAACGAAAGAAGCAAGAAGCGTGAATAAATAGCAGAAACTCGCGAAGATATACTGTTTTGACCAAAAGTGTGGTTCACATGTAGGTGGGCTTCCATATGTTGGGATGGAGGATAGATATTGCATATCTGTAAGCTTTAACATTGATTGTAGTGTACACAGACCAGGAATCTATGTTTGTGCGCAGACAGATTAAGAATTGATGGTACAGTGCGATATGTCATTTTTCAATGACATACACAATATCGATACAACATGCGAGCTCATCACAGCACACAATAGCAGAACAGACTCGCCTTTACAGCAGCTTTCCAACGCAAAAAGAATCTCGAAATTCCGACAGGAACCCATGGAGATGTCGCACATGGGCTCAGAATGCATGCAGTGGTCAAGTCGTACCAAATCACCAAGCACATGAAGCCACATTCTGAGCACGTGTGCGACATCTCCATGGGTTCCTGTCGGAATTTCGAGATTCTTTTTGCGTTGGAAAGCTGCTGTAAAGGCGAGTCTGTTCTGCTATTGTGTGCTGTGATGAGCTCGCATGTTGTATCGATATTGTGTATGTCATTGAAAAATGACATATCGCACTGTACCATCAATTCTTAATCTGTCTGCGCACAAACATAGATTCCTGGTCTGTGTACACTACAATCAATGTTAAAGCTTACAGATATGCAATATCTATCCTCCATCCCAACATATGGAAGCCCACCTACATGTGAACCACACTTTTGGTCAAAACAGTATATCTTCGCGAGTTTCTGCTATTTATTCACGCTTCTTGCTTCTTTCGTTAGTCACAGATGATGCGAAGAATATCTGGGTATGCATACATATATCCGATGTAAGTTAATGTCAGCATACTCCATCTCATCCCCATTTTTACATATAACGTCACGGGCCGGCGCCTGCACAGAACGTAACGTTCCAGGGCACTTTTGATTCGCGCTGTTAATACGCACATAACGCGCTCTTTTGCATGTCATTAAGACCAATAACGGCGGAGAACGAATACAAACATGTCGGGGGGGCGGCCACTTCAGATCACTCGGAGCGCGGGCGGCAGTGCACAGCCGCTGATGCGCCGGCGCTATGCACGACCGCCATCAGGCGGCGCTATGCACGACCGCCGTCAGGCGGCGCTCCGCTGCGGCCGGTCCGAGGCTTCCACTGCCGACAGTCGGTCCGCTTCAAGCTGCATCACCGGCCGTCTGTTTGCCGACGGTCATCTATCACTACCGGCCATCTGTGTACTGCCACCCAGTGTGTCGGTCCCACACCACAGCCCGGTGGTCCACTACTTGCATTGGACCCTGCTCACTGTGCCAGACCTTATGTCAGATAGTAAGGTCACAAAGGTGGCTGCTGTGTCCTTGGGTAGGCTCAGCTGGCACCTAGTGACTGGGTTCTGTGCTGTAACACACCCTAGCCCTACCTGTGCAGTGTGCGGTATATACCCCATTAGCTGCCCTTCATAATGCCAAGCTACCTAATTGAAGCTTTACATACACCCTACAACATATTTACACATACTATACACCATACTTACTTCAACCGGATCCGGCCGAACGGCTCCCCCAGGAAAACCAGGTGAGTCCGGCCGGACGACTCTGCCGAGGTTAGTGCATAGCAGGGGTAGCCACTACCCTTGGGGTAGGGGGTAAGGGTGCGCAAGGGTAGGGGTCGGGGTAGGTACCAGTTGACCCCCCAATACCCTTGATACCCTCGGTGGTCCCAGAGCTGCTGTACGTAGCAGCCTGGCCTTGCAGGCTCAGCAGGCATGTGCACTGAAGAACGGAGAGCCGTCATCGTGAATAGGAGCCTTTGTATTACATAAGACATTCACCAAAATTCAGGGGGCTGTCCGAGCGAGGGCCATCCCGCAGATTCTCCCTCCCCTGTTCCCTCATACACACAGATTCTGAGCTACACCTCACCACACTCCACCACTCATGGCTGGAGGATCTTCCCTTAGAAAGGGTGCCCAAGCTCTAAAGCGCCAGGCATCAGCACTATCGGAGAAGGTTCGGAAGAAGAAGCGTATCACAGGTTCCAACTCAGACGGTAGCGGCAACGAAGAGACCCGCTCCCAAGGTTCGTCCCCTGGCATTGTCTCCATCCACGGCTCTGGGAGCGATGCCGATAATGCGAGTGGGACGGAGACTCGGCGACCTTCAACTATCAAGAAGGCAGCACGTGCTGCAGCTTCTGCGGTCAAAGGAGTAGCCTCTGCCGTCAAGGCTACCGGTAAGAAAGCCGCCGGGAAGCTGAAGAAGCGTGGGTCATTCAACTCTGGCACGTCGGAAGCAGACCAAGAGGCATCAAATGACGAAGACGTACCTGCTACAGAGGATGATGACAACGAGCCCAAGGACGAGACCCCTGAGGCAGCTCTTGGTGAGTCGGATCCGACATCGCATCAGAATCAACAACGCCTTATCGCACTTTAGCGCGGTTGAAGAAGAAGTGGTCAGCCCCGGTGTACGCATTCTACAAACCAGACATCAAGATCCTCACCAATGAGAAAGGCCAAATCGTGCACGAGTTCTCTTGCGCGAACCCTGGATGTACACAGAAGATCAAACGTAACACCCAAACCAACGACAAGACATCCACAAAGAACCTCCATCGGCATGCGAAGTCGTGTTGGAAAGATGCGGCGTGGAAGGCTGGAACGGGGGCGGGATCTGCGGACAAGGCTCGGCCCGGTCTGGAGGCGTTCGGTCGCACCGGGAAACTGACTACAGCGTTCAAGCGGGCTGGAAAAGGCAAGGTCACGTATTCAATCGTACAGCATACATCAATGGAAACCAGGTACGCACTCACATGAATCAGTTCATGCTCAAGCGTTGAAGTGTGGCATAGAATCGAGATTGTGCGCTGGTGTGCAGAGAACAAGCGGCCGTTCCGTATCGTCAGCGACCGAGCGTTCCAGTGCTTGATGAAGACGGGCCGCCCGGAGTACAAGATCCCGTCTCCTTCCACTGTCTCACGCGACATCCGTCATGTGTTCGCGAAGTGCCGGCAGCGCATCGGCCGGATGCTTCAGGTATGTGATAGCAGTTCCGCATTCATGGCAGGGTACCGTACTGACGCGGGATGAATACACATGATAGGAATATGAAGGCGAACTAAACTTCACCTTTGACGCGTGGACATCGCCTAACCATAGGCCGTTCATCGCGTTTGCCGTCCACTTGCACCACCGCGGGGCTCCGTTGAGCATGATACTGGATGTCATCGAGGTTGCGGAGTCGCACTCCGGTTTCGTCATGGCAGCTGTGTTTGACGCCATGTTGAAGGACTTCGGTATCCAAGATAAGGTTAGTAGTGCATCTCCATAGATACGTGCTTGTGTTTGCTTACCAAACATTTGTAGATCCTCGCGGTGACAGGCGACAGCGCGGCCGCTAATGACACCATGGTCGACGAGTTGTACAAGAGGCTTGACAACTTTGGCGGTCAGTGTAATCGTGCCCGATGCTTCGACCATGTCGTGAACCTATGTGCGCAATCAGTACTCCGTCCTTTCCAGGTAAAGGAGGGCGACAAGGACACAGCGGAGACTGCTGAGGAAACACTAGCACGGCTGCTCGCGGAAATTGACTGGAGTGGTATGGGTTCGGACACCGAGGACGACGAGGGTGACCAAGCGGATGACACACCTGAAGCGGACGACTCAGACGGTCTCTTCGACATCAATGAAGACATGACAGACGATGAGCGCGAGGACTTTGAGGCTGGTATCGCCCCAATCAAGAACGTCTTAACGAAGGTGCGGCGCACTCAGATACAATACAACAACACACCTGATATCTGCCACCACAGATTCGCACCCTGTCCTTCGCAATCATCAATTCCCCCACAATAAACCTCCCTGCGTGGAAGCGGACACTTCGCGAACTCCGTTTGAAGGAGCGCATGATACCGCGGGATGTTCGAACTCGTTGGAATTCGACGTTCTACATGCTAGACTTTGCGGTTGAGTACAAGGCCGCCATTCACCGGATAACTACGGACCTTGATCTTGGCTTGAAGAAGCACAACTTGGACGACGAGGAGTGGGAGATAGTCGAGCAGCTGCGAGACGTTCTGAAGGTACGTGGCAGTTACGCAATCTTACTCTCACGCATCTGCACCCGCAACACAGCTGGTTTGAACTCAAACCAGCCGCAACGCTCATGGTCTCCCACCTCCTCCCGTGCTCTGTCTCGTCCCCCCATTCTCCAGCTTGGCATCCATGACTAACTGCTTCCTCTTGTGCTCGCTCTCGACGTCCCTTGCAACCCAACAACGTTTCTTCTGGCTGTGGTTAAACAACGCCACTCGACTGCCTAAAATCTCATACGGTCGGCCTGATCATCCGTGATCATCTTATCGCGGATGGAAACGACGCCATCCATACTCTGCATGGCCCTGGGACGCGTCGGGACTACAGGTAAGTTGTTTGTACTGTTTTTCATGCGCATATTCCACCTGTTCTGGGCTCCCGCTGTTGTGGTGCTGTCTCGATAATGAGATCCCGCGTCCTACTGCCCTCGCCTC